AGTGAGAACACATGCCCTAAGGCAAAAACTTCTTTAAAAAAAAATACACACACACACACACACACACACACACACACACATACATGATCTGTTTCATACGACAAATAAAAAAAAAGTCTGGCTATAATTTTATGTAGACATGGACGAGGCTGGGGACAGGGTATAGAAATCTTGGTCTTCATAGCTGCCACCTAGGAATGGTTCTGTGCAACTAATTCACATTTGCTTTCCATTGGTTAATAAAACTTTAAAACAGCTTCAGTGGGAGAGAACACACAGGTCATCTTATAAAATAAACATGGGTTCTACAGTCAGATAGGCCAGGTTCAAATCTCCAGTTTGTCTTGACCTCACCCCTAAATGTGAACCAAAGTCGACAGGGAGGGCTGCCGCAGTGCTGACTTCTCCTCTGGAATCTCATTGGCATGAGCAGCCCGCACCGGCTCCTTCAGGATCCTCATATTTAATAAATACGTCAACTGGCATCTTTGTCATTTTTACTTTAATGCAGCTCGTCAGGAGCTTAGCATTGAGGAGCCCTTGAATTTAAAGCTTATGGAGCAATTAAACCCCCACCTGGGGGAATCCAGACCTGGAAACTGTCAGTGCATAGTGATGAGGAATTGCGTGTTTGTCTCCCTCTTGTCTGAAAAATGGAAGGCTCCGAAGTTCATCAAGGACCTACACTGTATTTCAATGAGCCATGTATATATTGCATACTATGTAATTAATCTAGAAAACGACTCATCTCATAAACTAGGGAACCAGTTCATCTTCTATTAATTTCTTTTAATTAGCTATCATCAGGAAAGCACTGAATGTTTGCCTGATGTGATTCTTACTCACCTGATGGGAACGGGCAGTAATGTGGCAGTAATGTTGAACAGACGTCGGCCTTGCTGATAATCAAAATGCTGACACATCCATTCTGTGGCCTCAAGACTGTGCTCTGAGTCAGATATGGTAGAAAACATTGTCTCCATCAGATCCTGCAGCTCTGAGAGATGAAGTAACTCCTGCAAGGCCTCAGGGAGGTTTTGTTTCTCTGCAAAGCCAGATGGTTAAGGGCTTGGGCTTTGGAGTTAGGCACACCTGCATTCAAATCCCAGCTCTGATCGTTACTAGCTATGACTGTAGCAGCCTCTCTTAGTGCCCAACCTTGTCCTTACCACTATAAGGAAGGCTACAACTTCTGACTGCTAGTACCTGGATTTATGTGGCCTCAGAGCCCTCTCATTCCGAATTTTCCCCCACCCTACAGTAGTCAGAGTGACAGGAAATTAACATACCTTGAGAGCAGCCTCAACCAAGACTGACTGGAGCTGACGAAAAACACTCAGCTCCCTCATTCCTCGTGTGGGGTAATTCCGAGTTATGAGTTCCACACCGGCTCCAGAGTTCCCCTGTAGGACTAGGCTACGCCTGTCCCCAGTGGTAATTTGCTTACTAATGAACCTTTCATTAACTGCCTATCCTTCATAGCCTCATGTTCCATTTCTCTACCAGTTTTTCTTGAAATTGCTTCTTAACTCCCTTGCACTTGGGTCCGTATTCAAGGGAACTCAAATGAAGACAGTGATTTTGACAAAGCGTTGAACTCCTCTGACCTTCAGTGTCCTAGTCTGTAGAAGAGAATATAATACTCACTTCATTGGTTTGTAGGGAAGCTTAAAGGAGATATTGCATATAAAGGTTTTGCACACTTCTGTTCATAATTTATTATAGCAAAAAATGGAAAATGACCTAACTATACAATAAAAGGGGAATGGGTAAATAAATTAGATTTTATCTGTATGAGAGAATATTATGTAATCTGTAAAAATTGATGTTTTTGGAGAATATTCAATGGAATAGAGAACAGTACATCAAAACTACACAATCCAGCTTGGGGACTCAGTGAAAAATATCTAAAACTGAATATCAAATTATTTTAATTTTTCAAAAAGCAGATTAAAATATTTAAAACCTTATTTATCCCTTGGTGGCAATAAGTTATTTTTTTGTGCTTTTATTTTTCAAATACATGGTATCATACTTACAGTCAGCAAAAAGGAAATGCTACTTAACGAAATTGGTCTTAACTTTAAGATTTCAACCATAACAAAAAAAAGTGACTAAAAAAATATGAAATCTCAGATACTCTGTTTTTGTTTTTCTTTATCTGGTTGTGTGCACTAATTATTAAAAGGAAATATGGGGCCAACTGGTGGCATGATGATTAAGGTAGCTGGATCCCACACGGCTAACTATGGTTCAAGCTCCAGACCTGGCAACTTGAAAAACACACCAGTTGCATGTGTATGCATGTCCAAATTCCTAGGTGGAAAATAGAAGAGAAGGGATAGCAGGATGGCCATGTCCCTTGGGGGCAGCGCTTTCTCACTTTCTCTCTTTTCCTCTCCTCTCTGTTGTACCCTATAACAATTTTTTAAAAAATGGAAATAGGACTTTCATATAAGGTCACAGTTGACAGTAAGTAAGGGCAAAGCTTTGCAAAGGCCTAAAGAGTATCAAAGTCTGAGGTCTTTAGATCCCAGCTTCTGGTTCCTGACCTTCCTGGGCCCTTTCCTTTCTGAAACTCATTACAGTCTTGTTCAATTCTCTTCTGGCTCTGTGGTATTGACTCTAAGCTGCAGTACCAAGTCAGGCCAACGCCATCAACAGCCAGGCAATGATGATCCCACCGACCCAGGTCACTTGACCCAGATCTAGATTCATTTCTTCTGAGGACTTTTTGACTTACCTGCCCTTGTCCTATGTTGATTTCCCTGTATGTCAAATTCCAGTTGCATCTGACCTCTCCCAACCTCCACTTACCACCCCCTCCCCTTGCAAGTAGAAATTATTCTTACAACAGAAAAAGTCCATATATGGATCCATATACCCACCATCCATCCATCTATCTATATATTCAGTAAATAATCACTGGATACTTAATTCTATGCAAGCATTCTGCTAGATTTTTCTTTTCTTTTTTTTTTTGGAGAGATTTTCACTGTAGGACGCGTGCGTTTGCCAGACAGACAGAGAGACATAGAGACAGAAAGCGAGAAATCACCCCCCAGGGGGGATGGTCACGCCGCAATCCCTTCTCCTCCATTCTCCTCTCGGGATCTTGGGCACGCACGCACACGCGCCCGGCGTGAGTTTTAAGCCACCGGATCCGGGACACGAACTGCGGTCGACTACGTGGGAATCCAGTGACATAGCCATTACGCTAACTGCTGGTTCCCATTCTGCTAGATTTTTGAAACACTGTCTCTACCAAACTTCCCAGCCACGGGCTAGCAAAGACAAGGTACTCGAGTGCAACTGACTCTTCCATGCCCAAGTATAGTGGACACTTATATACTGCCTGCCCCATGTCTCCTCAGCCCTCCTGATTTCAACATAAGGTGGTAGACAGTTCCATGAACCTGGCTGGCATCTCTTGTCAAATGGATCTCAGCTGCCTCAAAATTCAGCCTTACAGAAGAGCAATGGAGAGCAGAAGGAGAATTTATGCCCAAAGAGGCCATCTCCAACTCTGAGGAGTGTTTTTACACCATTGCTAAGAAAGTCCCTGGAGAAACTGAGGCCCCTTTTGTCCTAGTGGTAATTAGCTTGTTTACATACTCCTTTCTGGTTTTTCTCTCTACTCTTATTTTTGACTCTCTCTTACTTCTGCTTCCTGGTATTATCTGGTAAATAAACTACCTGTTCTCATTTTCTTTGTCCTATTCTCTACTTTTGAAAGAATCCAAACTATGGTATCACATGATATGGTTTGAGTACCTCCACTGTTACTTATGCCTTTACTTGATACCCAATTCATCAGTGTCAAGAGGTGGGGGTTAGGGGTAAATGTTTGGGACATGCAGCAGATCCCCTGTGAATAGATTAATGCGCTCTTCAGGAGAGAAGCAAGTTCTTTGTACTTAGTTCCCACAGGAGCTGGTAGCTATAAAACAAATCAGCCACCTGCAGGTTTTTCTCTCTTTGCATGCACCTAGATTCCTTTCTGCTTCTCTTGGCCACGTTGTGACGTAGTACCAGAGACCAGCCTTATGCCTTAGAACTTCTCAGACACCAGAATCATGAGCCAAATAAACCTCTTTTCTTTTAAATCATTCATTCTCAGGTGTTCTGATATAGCAACATTAATGGTAGGGAAACACCATGGTAGGGAAAACTAGTAAGTAAATGAATGAATAAAAATCTGATAGTATTATAATGAGAAGGGAGAGGACATGGTCAGAGGTAGACAAATGACCACTTGTTGTTGATGAAAGACCCTGTTTCCTCATTATCTGTTTATCACGAGAGATTATAGCTTTCAAATGTGTGTGCCAGGGTGTTGGTTTTACTGCCTACTTCAGAACTGCTAAGCATAAGAGTAAAGTGGATGTCACTAGGAGAAATACTGGGTTGTTGGAAAATTCATGACACATTTTTGCAGAGAAAAAATATGTCATGACTTTTCTAATGATCCAATAGCTACTCTTTATACGATACTTTTCAATTTGCTAGGGACTTCATTCACATACTTTCATGTACTCTTTAAATTGTCCTATGACATGGACATGAATTAATCCCATCATATAAATGAGGAAACTGAGGTTCATAGTGATGGCTCAAGGTCACATGGTGACAGAATAGGACTCTCAGCTGAAATCTCTTGAACACTGGAGTCCGTACACTTGTGCCCTCCTGTTTACATGAGTCTATTGTGACATCCAGTCAGGGTTTCAACTCTCCAGCTGTTTGACCAGCAATTTGTAGTGAACACTCTCGGAAATAAAGGTGTGTCTTCTCAGGGGTCCAGGTCAGCCACGGCAGGTCCACGCAGTGAAGAAGTAGTAAATAATGCACAAGTCTGTTTATTACTCACTGTTAGCCAACATTTAAGATAAAACATTGCTTTATTTATTCTGTCTGGCAGCTCCAGTGTGCTCCGTGGTGCCTATAACACGGTGATGTTAATTAGGTCTGCAGCACTGCACCTCTTGTAGGCAAGGTTTCCCGGGTCATCAAGTGGCCTTATCTCTCCAGAAGCCTCTGGTTCAGCATCATGTCTGAGAACAGAGAGAATCTTTGGGAGGCAGGAATCACCACCAGTTTTGTTGAGCTGAGTATGAAACTGTTCCCTCATCCTGCTCACATCATGCTGAGGTCTAGCAACCCAGTCAGCATGCTAGGATCAATATGAGGTCTTCTTTCTGGGTAGGACATGTGGCAGAACTAGAGAGGTCCTTAGGAATTGTCTATTTCAGCTTTTTTTTAAAATTTAATTTGTTCGTGACAGAGAGCACATGTGTATACACAAGAGAGAGTGGGACAGAGAGGAACACCCTTAGAAAAGTATTTTCACACTGCAATCCCCTTCTCCCAGCCCTCCAACTTGCCAAGATCTGGGGGGGGTGGGGGGGCATTAGCATGTCAAGTGGATTTCAGGTTGACTAGGCCAAGCATCTGAACCTGTGGTCAGCCATGTGGCTTGTAGCACTGCAGCTCAGCACAACTGTACCACCAAGGTTCATTTCATAATGGGAAAACAGAGAGAGTACATTTCCCAAGTGACATAAATGCTAGGAACAGATTGGGATGAAATTCTGGCTGTTCCTGCTTCCAGTTCAGGTTCCTGCTAATGGATGCTTTCTAGTCCCTTGTCCCTGCTCTTGATGTCCTCACGTGCCCCGTCCCCTTTCTTTTGTATGTTGTAGAGTGGGTGAATAGACCGTGCCTGCCTCAGAGGTTAGCTTCTCTCCACTACATCCATTTTCCCTGAAGTTTCTTAAAATAATTCTGTGATTTAGAAAAAAAAATCATTCTTGATTCCATTCTACAGATGAGGAAATTGAGGTTCAAAGAGGGGAGATGACAGTAGTTGAATCAGGCCTAAGCACAGGGTTCTGGGCTTATATTCTTTCAAACAAACCACATGGCCTCTCTAAGGATAAATGAATAAATACATAAAAGAATGAATAAATGAATATTAAACTGACTAAAGAATGAATTAAGGCATGCATGATGAACAAGACTTACTGTTTAAAAGTCCCCACCCCATGTATTTGCTTTTCAAAAAAGCCAATGTTCCCTGGAGCTGCCATTTGAGCCAGAGCTCAAAGTATTTTCTAATCATACACCCTCCACTTTCAACCAACCACCTGGCTCTCAGCCCAGTTTAGAGCTGGCCCTTAGTGAATGCATCTGAAATGGAACAAAAATGAACAGTCTGGAACCATGGAATTTCATCTGTCCACGAGCAGTTTGGAGAGGTATTGGGGGTTAAGGAGAGCATCTTCTCTCTTCTTTAAAACACTACAAAAGCAGTTATTTCCCAATCTTTAGTCAAGGTTGGCCTGAAGAAGGAGAGAGAGTAAAACAGACAAGAACACAAGGCTAATTCAGGCATGAGAACTAAGCATGAACTCACCCGGGGACAGAGTCAGAACAGGGGCTCTTTCTAAGCTCCCCTCCCAAAAAGGGTTGGTCTGGCTGGGATCAAATGAGATCAGCCTTCACTGGGATTGGGAAGGAGGAAAGGTAGCCCTGACAGCCTGCTGGCAAAGTCTGAGGGAGGCTGGGGCAGAGGAGGTGATCCATTAATATGGATGAAATGTCAAGAAAGTAGACAGAATTTCAAACGAAAACTTAACCCAGGCCCTTTGACTATGAGTTGATGTAAAAATGTGCTTAGAATTGATAATGACCTGTCCTCTAATACTCAGTAATACACATACATACCGCACACATTCACAACTGTACAAAGTCATACATTTTCTCACACAAATATAAAGGAGTTATTGATAAAAGATGCACATGTATGCAACTATACAAGTGCACACGCACTTGCATACACTCAAATCATAGCCAGTTTATCTCGTGCATTCTCCTAGTCTTCCTATCTCTCTCCTTTCTCTTTTTCTCTCCCATGGACATTCTTAGCTCAATGTTTGACAACTTCCTATACAGGCTTGTAAGTCAGACTTATTCCACTTTGCCCAGAAGTTTGAGCGGATGCTTTAATCTGTGGATTCTGGGTGGAGACAGAGAAGGAGTGGGTGTCAGGATCACAGAATTATTCTGCTTATGAAGGGCCAGAGTGACTCCATTTCTTTTGGGGGGACTCCATTTTGTTAAACCCACCTTACTGAGAATTGGTGCCATTTCAAAGAGGCGAGCCAATCACGTAGGAGAAGGTCATAAGACCATCACCCCATCGGGGCTGGCCAATTATAAGACAAACAAACAAACAAACAAAATAAAAACAAAAAACAAAGGAAATACCAGAGACCTGAAGTAACTTTCTTGCCAATCAGTAAAGGACAACTATGCTTCTTTTTGGAGAGGTTTTTCTTTTTTCTTTTTTGCTATAGGGCACGTGCGCTCGCCAGACAGATAGAGGGAGACAGAGAGACAGAAAGCAAGAAATCACCCCCCAGGGGGATGGCCATGCCACAATCCCTTCTCCTCCATTCTCCTCTCGGGATCTTGGGCACGCACTCCCACGTGCTCGGCGTGAGTTTAAGCCACCGGGTCCGGGACTCGAACCACGGTCGACTACGTGGGAGCCCAGCGACATAGCCATTACGCTAACTGCTGGTCCCATAGACAACTATGCTTCTTGAAATCTACAGCCAATGTATAGCTGCCTGAGTGCATTCTTCAGCACCCCTCAACCTCCTCCCCACAACAGCCAAATAAAAACCCAGCCCAACTAACACGTGGGGCTCTGCTGTGTTGGATTGGGAGTCCTGGCTCGAGCCCGAATAAAAGTGACCCTTTTATGCTTGCATTGAAATCGGCTCCTTGGTGGTCTTTTGGGAATTTTGCGACCGGGGCAGAACACTTAGAGCAGTCATCCTCATCCTCACACGTTCTTATGATTATTATTATCAGCCACAATAGCTACAATTCCTCAGTGAATGGCTCTTCTCCCCTGACTCAGGACTCCTGGGCCCAGCAATGAATGAAATACTCTAATTATCTCCACCTAAGAACAATGCAATGTTTGAAGTAGGACTGCAGCCATTTTGAAATTAAGAAAGGCCTCTAAAGAGAACAATCTGATCAAATGCTGAGTCATAGGGAGAATGGTCAGATGAGAAACCAGGAATGGGAATTTGAAAGAATCACAATCATTACTCAGGGAAAAGCAATTGATTCTAATTGAATGTAGTGAGGAGAGATTTGCATGTGCTTGCATCTTGTATCTTTAAGTCCTGAGAACATGTTGAGGTTTCCTTCTTCTTTTATTTATTTTTTTTGTATTTTTATATACTTTAAAAAAAATTTTACACTCCAGGCCAGCAGGTGGCATCGTGATTAAGGGCACTGGATTCCCACCTGGCCAACCGTGGCTCAAGTCCCAGACCTGGTGCTTGCTTTCTCGCTTTCCCTCTCTCTCATTCTATCCCTCTCTGGTTAAATGAAAAATAAATAAATAAATACATTTATAAAAAAAAATTTACGCTCATTTACTGTATATTATTACAATATTCAAAATGAATTTTCCCATAGAACTTTTCAAGATAGTTTGGCAGTACTCACTGATTGTCTTCCTGTACCCAGTCATAGTAATAAACTTCCTTTTTCAGCCTCTGTCCCTCATTTCATTGGCTGTGAGAAGCAGCAGCTGGACTTCATTGACTGGTAACATTTTGAGTTGGGAAGAAACACAGGAAGTACCAAAGTCACTGCTAAGTTCCAAATCAAATGTTTAGATAGTGGTTCTCTAGAAACTCAGAGATATCGTTGGAGAGGTATTGAGGGGCCAAGGAGAGCAGCTTCTCTCTTCTTTAAAACACCACCACAGCAGATTACTTTCTCTGAGTTTCTAGAGAAAATAGGGTTGACTTCCTAGAGGAAGGACCTTAAAGGATAGGTCAGAATCAGGGGAGCAGAGAGGAATGGAGAGGTGCCTGGAAAACACAAGATGCTTAAAATGTTTTGTTGGATGAAGTAAAGATGAGACACTCTAGGTTAAAAGCAAAACATGGATGACAAGAGGACTTTTATGAGGTCTCAGCAGAAGAGGAGAAAATACGGGAAACGCTTCTCAAAATTCCTCTTATTTGGGGCCAGCCAGATGGCGGGAGGTTAAGATGGCTGGATCCCACATGGCTGATTGGACAATTCAAGTCCCAGACCTAGCAGCTTGAAAATCATAGCAACCGTGTATGTGTGCATACGTGTCCCCCAAATCCTGATAGAAGAATGCCAATGAAGGGATTGAGGTCTTTCCTCCCCAGGGAGGGAGAGAGTGCTTTCTCATGTTTTCTATCTCTTTCTTTTTTCCAGCAAGTGCAAGCATCCTGCAGGAAAAAAAAAAAAAAAATCTCATGTGACCCCTGGAAGTATGTTATACTCATAATACCCCTGGGAGTATGTTAATTGAGGATTATGTCCCCATTACCAAAGAGTAAGAAAACAAAAAGGGGCTCTTGTAAGCTTCCCTCCTAAGTTAAAGCCCTGGGGTAACTCCAACCAGGGCAAAAGATTTAAACAGATTTTCACAGCAAGGCAGTATCAGAACTGGGAGTTGAATCCAGTTTCCTAATGGCTACATCTTTTAATTCCTTTGACTCCACAGTATGAATCCTGTCAGCTGAAGATACATAATGCAAGAAGAGGAAGTTTTTGAGATATTTAATGGGAATATTCCCTTTACCAGGTGACCCCAGCAGCATCTGCTTCATGATGCAGGACAGGGGAAAGGGTTACTGAAAGGGTCTGAGCTCCCTCTAACTACTTCATCCTAATCTCCTGGCAAAACCTCTCTCTTGGTACAAGTGAGGCTAGCACCAGCTCTACCTGTGATGGCAATAAGTTCAGAGCAGTTGTTTCAAAAGAAGAGACTCAGGCATGAAGGACGTCAGGGGACATTTTACTACTGCAAGGAGGGATGCCTAAAGCCAGGCTCAGGGGAATGAGGCAAAATGAGGTCATGTAAAGAAACAAAAATGAACCAGTGAGTTCCTGAGGCAGAGGCTTTTTATAACCAGCTTAAAATATTTATTGTACTGTCAGTCATAGGACTGTACACAAAAGGTGGAGGGAAAATGGAAAGAAT